AATATGTTTGCAGATGACGTCTTTGGGAGCTGGTTGTTCCGCACTCCTGCTGCCTTCAAAGCAGCTCTAAGATCAATCGGTATACTAGTGCAAACCTTGCAGCGAGTAGGCCTCCAACTAAGCCAGGATAAAACAGTCATCTTGCTTGCATCGGTAGGCACCAGCTCCGCCTCCCTCCTGCACAAAGTCAAGCACTTTATAGACCAGGTTCCTCATCTTGCCATCAGAGTTGGAGCTGAGCAGATGTTCTTTAAGATCACCACTTCACACACCTACTTAGGTGCTGTAATTTCCTATCGGAACTTTGAGCTCTCCAATCTGAAACACAGACTACAAAAGACCTGGGGTAGCTTCTGGAGACTCCACCACCTGCTCATCAGTAGAGCACTGAGCATGAAAACACGAGTAAGGTTGTGGCGGGCTTGTGTGTTTAGCATCTTGCGATACTCTCTGTTAAGTGTGGGGCTACCGCCGCAAGGCCCCACTATGATCAGGCAGGCAGTGAACCGGCAGCTCAGACTCATTGCAAGATCTCCAGGCCACATTTGGCACACCACTGCCGAAGACATCAGTCAACGAGTGCAGGTGGAAGACCCATGGCTTACGCTGTGTCGCCAACATGCAGCCCTGGCGGCCAGGCCAACCCTTATTTCTCAAGTGTCAGGTATGGACCACTGGACAACCCTCCTACGCACCACGTTCACCTACCATCCCAACTCCCCGAAGCCCTCTCTCACTCTAGACTCGAAGTTACCAATGCTCCTCGACGAAGCAGCACCAACACAACAGCTCACAGGTCGAGACTTACATGCCCCCCGCCGACTAGTCTGTGATGTTTGTAGCCGAGTCTTTGAGTCCCTCGGAGCACTGCGCAATCACGAGGCTCATGCTCATAAACGAGAATCAGCCCAACCTAGTAGTGAGCATCCAGAGGAAGACGTTGCACAGATGGAGGGCAAAGTGCAGCACCCCGGTCTCCGAACTCACACTGAGGAAGATGCACCGTCCTACATGCAGCTTCGTCGCCAGGTACACCAGCCTATCCATGAAGAGCTGCTGCAGCATGGCCTGCCCTCCTACATGCAATCAGCTGATGCACAGACTAGGTTTGTGAGTCTCCACTCCCAGCAAGGTCTTAGCATCTGCAGGCACTGTAACCGAGAGTGCCACAGTTGGGATGACCTAAAAGTACACATCTTCACTAGAGCCTGTTCTGCGTTGTTTCCCAATGCAAGAGACCCTGTCTTCCCAGCCTTTGATGATTCATCATTAGGCAAATACTGGGACGATAAGCTCACCTCTCCACTCGAGAAAGGATGGGAAGCCGTAGCCGCCTATCTGAAAAAGACCGAGCCAACCTGCTACCGCTACTGCCCCATCTGCAGACAAGGCCTAGTACAAGCCAGAGGAATCACCCTGCATTTTAAAGCCTACCACCCGTGGGCAAGTGCTGCGCTCCAGCAAGCCAGACATCATACGGCCTCTCACCGCCGCAGTTTGATTTTGTGCTCGCCTTGCCGATACTGTGGCCAGGTTTTCAGGAGCCATCATACGAAGCATGCTGCAGAGTGTCCCATGATCATTTATGCCAAAACCCTTCACAACCTACGTATCTCCACTGCCCTGCAGGAGCAGCACCCAGTCGTGCAGCAACCCTCTGATGGATCTCGAGGGGATCTCCAGGGACGATCTCTTGGAAGCAGCAGCAGAGCTCCAGCATCTGCAGACCCTGGCTCTTCAGGGAGTCGAGTTTGCGACGGCCACGCCCCTGACCCGCCAAGTCCAGCCTCAGTTGGAGCAGGGCCGCCCTCCGATACTGGAGGTTCCTCTCACGCCATCAGCAGCCTCCACCACGGCCACGCCGACCAGAACAATGGACGACCCAGCTCTTCGCCCGACCAAGTACACACGCCCGGGAGGGAAAGGACCAGATGGCAGGAAGGATCCGGATCAGACACCGAAGCCACAGCACGACAATCCAGGCCAGGGACGGGGACAACGCCGCCAATTCCAGCCACAAAGTCGGAATCAGCCACCGGAGTCGCAGCGAGGCTCAGACAATCTACACTTGCACAGGCGGGCTTTGGAATCGTTGGTGGGAAAGATGGCGCAACTCATGTTGCGTCACGAAGATTTCCACACAGGACTTGCTCAGTCGACCTCGTGGGTCCTCTTCGAGGGGACCGTGCCTCCCCTGTCCACGATAGCAGCCCAGGCGCGGATAGCTCAAGAATGGCATCGCATGAAACGCGACACGCCAGAATCCATACGCCAGCCGTTGCGGACCATATTGTTCCAAACGTGGGCTGCAGAATTGAAGGGTCGCTTGGAATCCATCACCAAAGACCCAGCTTGCAGGCAGCAAGCACTGGGTCTACAGTCCATGGAGGAACCAGATCTGTTCCCTTACAAAAAGTGGAA